AGAGAGAGAGCGAGAGAGAGAGAAGAAATGAAAAAAGGTGGAGGAAGAACGAGGTAAAAAAAATAATAATGACGTGCCAAATCGGAGACAAGAGAACCACCGTTTACAGTCGTCTTTTTTTCTGTTTTTTTTTTTTCTTTTCTTTTTTTTCTTTTTTTTTATCCGTAGCAACTTTATTGTTTGGTGCATCACGTGCCAGCCACTTTCCATAATGAAGGCATATTCGCTAGTGTGGAGTATAAGTGGAGTTTCTTCTTGTCGCTTAATTAGTCATTATCTAATAACGTAGGTACCTTACGACTTATGCATTATCACCTAGCCTCCAATTATTATTCGCTTATATTCCACGGTTCTCCGTGCGATCGAGAACCGACAAACACGCGTTCGTGTTTCGATTAATTTTCCAAAAGAATCTTTGTCTTTGCGTATAGGTGTGCGTGTGTATGTGTGTCAGTATGCGTGTCCGTGTGCATGTGTGTCGCGTGTTGCTGTGCACATGTATGTATATATATATATGTGTATATACGCGTGTTAACTACACGAAGAGAGAGCATGTGCCATGTCACTTCTCTTTCCCAGATTTTTGCTTCTTTTAATTATCATTTCTCTGCTTTCCTTTTTCTCCCGTTTGCTCGCTACTTCCTTTTTGTCTCCTCCTTCCCTTCGTCTCGAGGTGTGTATCGTTAAATGCCCAACTGACCAGCTACAGATGAGCTACGTATTTACAAATCTCGTTAAGTAATCATCTACGTATTATCTGCTCTTTTTTTTTTCTCGTTTAATAGGAAACATTAATTTCACGCGCTCGCACTCACTCGTTACCGTTTCTTTCTCTCCGCTACACACGCACGCACACACTCGCTCGTACACTTTCCCATCGTTCCTCGCTTCGCGATCTTCTCCTCGCTCCTTTCATCCCCACGCTTCCTCTCTGATTAATTCTTATTGCGAATCGAACCGTTGCGAAACTTCGACGGCACCCTGGCTTCCCTCCTTCGCGAGCCATCGTTTTCGGAAGGACCCTGGACACCATTGCTAACCCCTCTCTCTCGTTTCGTTCCATTAATTCCTTCCGTTCCCTCCCGCGAGAACGTTCGTTCCGCTCCTCATCGGCGCGTCCGACGAAACTGACAATCGCGATTCGCGCGAAACGACTTCCCTATATAGGTCGAACTTCCAGCGAGTCGTGTAAAAGGCTGTTAAGAGATAAAAGAACACATGGTCGAGGCGTAAAAGTCTGCGCGTCCGCGATAAAACATGGGGAACCTTTTTCACGTCGGCGTGAATCGCTGTTAAAAGCAACGGCGAAACGGGGAAAGGGGAGAAGAAATAGGGAAGAAGACAATTGAACTATAAAAGCGGGGAACTAGACTCACAGCGTGACAACGGATCGGTCGTCGAGGAATTAAAATGTCAGTCTCGCGGAAGCTCGCGACGAGAGAGTTAGGACCCGATGGTGCAAAGAGGAAGGCCCTGGTGCGTCGAGGTGTTCGTGGTACGAGGGATTCGTTGAATTTTCGTCGTTCCTAATCTAGGCGACCTGTTAGCGTCTCGCTGGGTACAATTGTTTCGCCGTGGATCAACGAAATGGCCGCTTGACGGTAGCACGGACATGTCTTACGCTCTAGCCAGGCGCGACAGGTTGCCTGCGATTAGGCGCGACGAAAATTTCGCATTCCTTGGGCCGCGGTGATTCGACGCATCTGCTGGTTTCCTGTGTGGTGATTCAATTCATGAGCTACTAGCGTAATATGTATGTACACGGTGAACGCGATGACGTATTTACAAATGACGAGAAGAAGCGCTTCAGCTGGCCGAAACGATTATAATTGTACAAAAGGAGACTTCGACGAAGAAAGGGTACCACGTCGCAACGTTTGAACACCTCGCCTCGGTACAACATTCTGCACACGCCTGGGAAATCGCAATACAGTATACTTCGACAGTGTTCATCGTACTCTCTGGCATACGCGAAGGAAGCGGATGGTTATTATCGACTTCGCTGTCGATTTTCCTCCGAGGTCCTCCGATCAGACACACGCGTACCTCTTGCTCCGAATCGCGTAAAACGACGGTCTGGATCGAAACGACGATCGATGAATAATCGTGTCTCCTCGGCGTAAGCTGTCTTCCGTTTACGTTCAAATTCTCCTACTAAAACCGAGCCTCGTTTTCCTTCCCAATCCGTCATCATCCATCTTTCGTCTCGGGTCATCTCGATCGCCAAGGGTTACTTAAACGGTACGGTTACGTGGTATATTATTATTTTTTTTTCATTTTCTCGTTCGTGCGTGATCCACGCGAATAAAGTTGTAGTAGAAATTAGTCGAGTCTGCGTAAAAAAGAGAACACATGCGTTGCTTTTTCCCGTCTCTGTCGCCCCGTTACGGAATAATGAAAACGAGTTTCCTTTGCTACTAACGCTAAATCGTTATCTAAGGTCCCTACGGTAATTCTCGTGAAAATCTACTGGCTACCTAAGTTCCTTAAACTAAAATCACACTCAGAACGTAATTATGGATACCGTGCGCTCGTTCGGCCTCAGAGTGCGTCTGAATTGAAGTATGCGTAATGGTAATTGTTAACTACTACTGGTACTATAAACACATTGGACGCGGTCGACGAGACGATCGGGTTGCCCGCGACAGGGGATAAAGCTCCCTTCGCGGGGCAATTACAAACGGGACCGTTCGTCGACGACGTCGTTACGCGCAAAGAGAACGAAACTAAAGGTAATTCAAACGCAATCGGGTTCGCAAAAGCTTCCAGACTCCGGAGGCCGCGGTTCGAGCGATCGTTGAAGTCTAAAGAGAAAGAAAAACCAAAGCGAGATCTCGCACGGAAGCGCTTACAATAAAGTCTCGGAAAATTAAACTAGAACGTCTATTTATCTACACCAAAGACGACTCTGGGCGATTCGAACAATCCCTCTTCGTTGTTCCCTCGCTGATCCATCTTCCCTCCAACGCGATTGCCTCTCGTTCCTCTCGAGCTCTCTCCACGGGTCCACGATACCGTCGCGCTCGCCACGATTCGTCGGCAGTGCATCGTTTATTGGAATTAAATCGCGTGCGATCCTCCACGCGTCATCATCCACCATCGTGCTCCGGGAATCCGCGCGATTCCCGGGTGTCTTCGGACACAGAGGGTGGCTTCTCCACGGTAGCAGAGAGACGACGTCGTCCCACGAGCTACCTCGCGCTACGTCTCACCGGGTAGCTCGCAATCAGGGGCGACGTCTCGAAGCGACGAGAAGCGTTCGAATTCTCAACAGAACCCTATCCCTCGCTCTCTGTACAGAGATTCCACGGGCCAAAGCCGTTCGTATCGCTAAATAAACTATAGGCGTTCGCAGCGACGCCGTACGGAAACTAGAGCAAGCTTTTGCGTGACCCACGGGCCAAAGCCGTTCGTATCTCGCTAAATAAACTATAGGCGTTCGCAGCGACGCCGTACGGAAACTAGAGCAAGCTTTTGCGTGTCCGCTGCACGGAAGGAAACTGAAATTCGTTCTTCACGAAATTTCTCGATCGTCTGACGTTGCTTCCTCGCGAGCGAATCGTCAACGCGTTCCGTGGATTGGTCCAAAGCTCTAGACCCAGATCGAAGTCCATAGACGCGATGGTCGTTGGGCCGTTCCACAGCATCCTTCTTCCGTTCGAGCTCATAGAGCCGCTGATATCCTTCGACCATTCGATCCTCGATCAATAAAGAACGATTCGCGTTAGGCTTCTTGAAGCATTGCGCTCGGAAGAAAAGATTCCTGGCTTCGAACGTTCTTCCTCGAAGTAAAAATCACCTGTACAGCCAGGACTCTACCCGTGTCTTCTCTTCCGTGTTCGCTGTACGCGCAGTCTCTCCTTTCTTCGACGAAGTGGCTCGTGATGGTCGTGTGCCATCAAAGGGACACGCTAATTACAAACGCTTGCGAGTCGTTAATAACGCTTCCTAGAGCCGCGCCGAGCGCGTCGTTTAAATTCATTGGCGGGAACGAAAGGGTCCTTCGATCGATCCCGTGGATCCTGGACCTCGGTCCCGTTGCGTATACACGGCCCGGTCCTCCTCGTCGATCACGATCGACTCGAGACCCGAGACGGTTTCTCCGATCGGAGAAAAACGACGCTTCTCTCTCTGGTTGTTCCGCTTCAGCAGGTACAAGGTAAACTGGAGTACTCGCGAGGTACTCCGAAACGCTCCTTTTCGTCTCGATCTCGGATTCAACGACGAGGGAACCGCGTTACACGTAGACAGAGCTTGGTCGATCACACTCGACGAGGGAACGATCGATTACGGCCACCTTTCTCCCTCGTTGACCGATCGTTTATACAAACGCGCGCCGCAGCGGCCATGTTTTACGCGTGTACATGTACAATATGATAGAGAAGCGTGTAAAATCTAAACGGAAAAGAAAATAAAAGAAGACTGGCCCGTCTTTTCGACCCTCCCTTACAAGCTACGTGTGTACGTTCTCCTCCGTTCTTCTCTCTCGTGCTCCTCTAGCCCCGTTAAAACTCGAATCCCTCGAAACTGATCGCCTTCCGGTCTCTTCTTCCCCTCCAATTCTCCTGGCTGTGCCCTTCGTGACGTGTGCCCTCTTTGCGTCCGTGTATTTCTTCTCCCTAGGCTCCCTCTCGTATGTATACAGCGGTATGTATAATATATATTTATAGATATCTATATACATACACGTGTCTATGTATATACATATCAGCTAGTCGAAAATTGAGGCTTCAGTGCTCGGCAGTCTATTGTCTCTCTTGGCTCTTCTTCTCCTTCTTCTCTTTCTTCCATCCCCCTTCTCCGATCTCGCTCTTCTTTCTTCCCTATCTTCGCGCCATTTTTCTCTCAGCCTGTATTTTCTCTCCCCGTCTTCCCGCTTCCGGTTCCAGCTCTATATCCCTCTTTATCCGTCTCTCTTCTTGCGTTCTCGCTATTCTTCTTCTTCTTCTTCTTTATCGTCTTCTTCGTCTTCATCCCCATCTTCGTCTTCTTCTTCATCTTCTTCATCTTCTTCCTCAGGCTGTCGAAAATTCTTCAACGTCTCTTCGCGTGAAGCGAATAGTCGGCCGCGCATTCGTCATCCGTGTTCGCGATTTCGGAGAAGATTTTTATTCCCACTGGTGAGGAGAGGGTGGCAATTCCGAGGGATGAGCCACCGTGGAGCTGCAAGTCGTACGAACAGATCATTAGTGCTTGCCATTTTAGGGAAAACGAGTCTTTTTTTACGTATTTTTTTTTCTTTCGTTCATTTTTTTTTTTTTTTTTTTCGT